ACCGTAGTTTGAGTTATGAAAAATCTGAACATGTAATTGGATAGAGCTCGTCGAGTTGCACTTGGAACTCTATTGGAAAAGTTCCTAGACAAATTCTTGCTGCTTTTACTCGAATCTTTGGCTAATTTTACCTACATATTTTCTTCAAAGAAAGAATGAGTGTAAGAAACTGTTCCTCTAGAGTAAGAATGCTTGACATCTAGAATTAATTATATAATGTATTTATAGTAATTTTGCAAGTAAACTGAGTTGCCTATTCGAACGAAACAGTTTCGTACCTTAACATGTAGCCATACTTTTCCAAAACAAATTATACATGTTATTGTAGCTTGTCATGTACTTTACGCGTATTAGAATTTTCGTGATATGTGCATTTCAATTTTCTGAGATATAAGCGTCTCAAGATTGACTAGTGCCCGAAAATACATCGATTTGGGCTGTTGAAGAGTTCTTTTCGGCTCGACTAAAGTTTATTTATTTAATGTTGCAATACTAAAATATATAACTCAAGCCATGCTCTACATATTTCTCAGATGATTAGAACCCATCGGGTTCAAGACCAACCGAGTGGTCTCTGATCTGGAGTCTTCTATTGTTAGTACGAATCTTGTTTAGTGTCACATTCATCTTTAATGTTTACTTAATAGTTTTATCTCAATTACAGAACTCAATGCTATTCTTTTTTTGTATTATTTATTCTACATTAAAAAAAAAAATTCCTGTCTGTTTTTTTAGCTACTTTTCTTATTCAACCATTTTTTGCTGATTTTATCTTGGAAATTTTAATTAGTACAAGTTCTCGTGAAGTTCGTCAATGTGCATTACGTAATATAATTCGTTTATGTAAAATTGAAACATTAGCATGTGATATAAGAGCTGTTATTCATCAAATATTAATAAAAGCTCGATTACCATTATGGCCATCAAGTGCAACAACTCGTAGTTCAAATCAAAAATTATTATCACAATCAATTGAATATTTTGATTTACGTTGTCAATTAACAGAAAATTTAACAAAACAAATGCAAACAACACTTAATATAAATTCAAAACAAATTTTAACTAATGAATTTAATTGGTTATCATCATATACAGTATCAACAACATCAAATGAATTACGTACAATTGATAATATTTTATTTATGGGTCATTTAAGATTTATTCGTACATTATTAACATGTGAAAATATAAATAAAATTGAATTTGGTATTGATTTTATACGTTTAATTATTGATCAATTTTTATTTCCTGCATCAAAACGTATGTCATCACCAATTGTACAAACAAATAATGAAAATGATTCATTAGATGATTCTGTACCTGAACCAAAATGTTCAACAAGTGAAAGTCGTTTAGCTGCATATGATGTACTTGTTGAATTAGTTCGAAATTGTCGTACAAATTTAAGACTTGTTATTGATGATCTTATTAATCTTCATCATAGACCTATACTTGAAAAACAAACTGAATGGGAGGTTAGAGTTTTTTTTCTTTCTTTTATTATTCTTTTATAAATTATTTATTCATGAATATTCTAGTTCATGCCGCAAGTTAATCCTCGTGCACATTGTGGATTAGTTGGACTTTATAATGGTATGTCGAATGAGTAATTTTCATGACATACTTTTTGAGGATTTTTCTATAAATCTCATTATACATTTTTGTTAATCAAATAGAAGGGATTAGACTGAGAGCAGAAAACCAACTGAGAGTGAGTGTTGACCCATGGTTCTCTTTTGGCACAACTAAAATGTAGTATATGCTATCAATAGATAAATCCACTGGTTTGAAATAAATCCTAATAGTTCCTCATATAATGTTAAAATTTCAATGCGTGCTGGGGTCCCAAGGCTGTGAAGTGTGAGAAAATGTCTCACAGAAGTAGTACAAAAATTTCAAAAAAATTTTCTCGTCTTACTGGGTAATAACGACTAGAGGTGTAAGCCGAAGAGTCAAACAGCGACTGCTATGTTTTGTGTTTTTCTGCACCGGCGGCGGCTTTGACAACCAAAAATAAAAATGTATTTGCTCTTAAAAGATGAAAAAAAATGATCGATCGCATATGTATCGATGCCAACAGCGGTGGCGGCGCATTATACTATTATCAAAAATTTTCGTTCGTGGCAGTGATGCAGCGGTGACGGTTCAGCCGTATGGCTTACACCTCTAATAATGACTCATTTTCAATCATTAGACGAGTGTCTACGTTAGAGCTTGTTGGGCTCGTTGTGGATCCGAGCGTGATCGAGTCGGAAAATTTTGGACCCGATGGACTCTAGTCCATTTCTTCTACTGTCGTAGGTAGAGCCCATCGGGTCCAAGAATTTGTGGACCCAGATCCGACCGATCAAAATTTTGGATTCTAATCTGATTGATTAATCTGTTGTAGGAAGAGCTCATCGGATCCAAAAATTTTTGGACCCGGTTCCGATGGGCTCTGATCGCAGAGCCTGGTAAAAATACTGAAAATCAAGATGCCTGAATTAGATTTTTTGTCAGAAGAAATTTGAAGGCATATTGAGCTAAATTTCAATATTAGAATTAAGAGATAGATATACTTAAAATTCTAAGTAGCTATCAACCAAATTTTAAACGAATGTCTCCAAGTGTGACTAGCCAATCGAACTCATATTTTGCGGATTAGCCTCGATGAGACTAATAGGAACCTGTACAGGCTTGTCTTCATGCGCTGTCCTTCCCTTATAGCTTCATGTAACAACACATTCCATTAGACTGAAATTTCCAGGGTATTCTAAAATCTACGAGATGTATCTATGCGCAAAACTTCAGGTTGAAATTCCATACTTCGATTATTTCACCAAATTCTTTTCAAAGATTAAAAAGATTCAGTAAAATTATACGAGAAAGAAAGCACACGGAGACAAACCTTTATAGATTTTTGTTAGTTTTATCAAGGTTTACTTATTAACAAAATATCAATTCTATTGATAAGTCACATCAGGAGTTCTTCTCTCCTAAATAATAATATTCAAAATAAAGTTTCATTTTTAAGGTGGTGCAACATGTTATATGAATTCAATTCTTCAACAATTATATATGTTACCACAAATATCTGAACATATATTAAGTGTTCCTGATGATCTTGATAATACAAATGGAACAAATAAAACAGGTGATTCAAGTTTATTTTATCAACTTCAACAAGTATTTGGTCATTTAATGGAAAGTAAAATGCAATATTATTCACCTGAATCATTATGGAAAGTATTTCGTTTATGGGGACAAGAAATAAATATTCGTGAACAACAAGATGCATTTGATTTTTTTACAGCAATGACTGATCAAATAGATGAATATTTGAAAACTATGAAACAAGAAGAAATATTTCATAAACAATTTGAAGGAATTTTTTGTAATCAAATGATATGTACAAATGGTTGTCGTCATCGTTATGAAGGTGAAGAAAGATTTATGGCATTAAATGTTGCTGTTAAAGTTGATTCACTTAATGAATCATTAAATCAATTTGTTAAAGGTGAAGTTCTCGATGGAAATAATGCTGTAAGTTTAAAAACTAATTTTATTTTTTATTTTTTATTTTTTCTTATTTTTTTTTAGTATTTTTGTGCTAAATGTCAAGAAAAACGAACAACAATTAAAAGATTATGTATTAAAAAATTACCACCATTATTATGTATACAAATGAAACGTTTTGGATTTGATTGGGAAAATAATCGTGCATTAAAATTTGATGATTATTTTAAATTTCCTTTAGTACTTAATATGGAACCATATACATTAGATGGTGTTAATAAACGTGAAAGTTTTGTAGCATATGATGATATAACTGATAGTACAAATAATGATTCATTAATTAATAATGCAACAACAACTACAAGTAAATAAAATTTTAATTTTACAAAAACAAAAAAAAAGTATTTTTAAATCATTTTCAATCGAATCTTGTAAAGAAAATAAATTGATTAGAGTTGCTGAAGAAATAGAAAATGTTTGAGATAATTTAAATTACTATGAATTCGATCTCCACATGAGCGTCATTCTCATGGACCACAGACAGTATAAAATATTGCTAAAATCATATTGCAGTGCATATTATCTCTCGTTCTTAATACTCATCAGTTGAGATTGTTTTCCCTTCTTAACCTATAACACTTATCTATCTGTTCTACATAATGAATGCCATTGATTTATTTGATTTGATAATCATTAATAGACTTTATATTATGACCAGAGTTCTACTGTAAAAGAATATGAATAATCTAACAGGTCGTGATTACGCTCGTAGCAATAGGATTGAAAATATTTCGATCATACTGACTATTAAATAATATCCAATAGATCAAGCAAAAATAGACAAGATATTGTTGAGTAGCTAGTTTTTTTTAACCATAAAAATGACTCAATAAGGGATCCTAAGGTTTTTTTGTTATGCTTACTATTGGTAAAAATACCAACTAGCAAAAATATTGGAAATAAAAGCATTGATCGATCACATTCTAATAAGGAAAATTCATTTGGACACTTATTCAAAATTCCCACATCCCAAATCAGTTTTTCAAGATATTATCATCTGATTTCTTATGAATAAGTTCTCCACCATCATTTTCTCTCTTTCACTTCGAAATTTCTAAAAATTTGATCAAAAGATTTCAGCCGCTGTCGAACTCTAAGACTTTAATAGCTACCGCCATCCGAAAGTTTTGTAACCGCCGCTGCTGAAGTCTAAATCTTGGATAGCCGTTGTCGCTCCCGCCGCCGTCCCAGCCTAAGACTTTTATAGCTACCGCCATCCGAAAGTTTTGTAGCCGCCGCCGCTGAAGTCTAAGCCTTACGTAGCCATTGTCGTCGCCGTCTGAGAGTGTTATAGCCATCGCCGCATTAAAATTTTGTAGCCGCCGGTACTGAGCCTAAACCTCGATTATATTCTTATTAATAAAATTAAAACTGTTTTTTTTTCTACGAGTACATCCCATACTGGACTCTAAGACTATTCATCATAAATACGACATAATTCAATGATTGATAATTTTTAATTTCTATTTAGATGATAGTAAATTTGTACCTCGTTCGTTAAATAATGTATCAAGTAATATGCCAACAATAAATTATGAATTAATTGGTATTGTTATTCATTCTGGTCAAGCTAATGCTGGTCATTATTATTCATTTATAAAAGATATACGTCGTCGTCATTCAAATCATACAAATCAATGGTATCGTTTTAATGATACATCTGTTGAAGAAATACAATTAACTGAACAAATGCTTGAAGAAGAATGTTTTGGTGGAACATTTCGTGTACAAAAAGATAATAATAATTCAAGTGAAGAACGTACACGTTTTTGGAATGCATATATGCTTATATATCAATGTATTGAACCATCAAAATTACTTCCACCACCACCACCTGTATCATCATCATCACCAAATACAAATCGTTCATCACGTCATATACCTGGTACAGCTGTTCGTATAAATCGTACAAATCAACGTGATTCATTATCTCAATTAGCTGATTTAGTTGTTCGTAGTGAAAATAGTGATTTATTTCGAATTGAAAAACCATTAATTCCATCACATGTATTATCTTGTGTTAAAGATGAAAATCTTGAATTTTTAAAAAATCGTGATACATATTGTGATGATTATTTTCAATTTATATATAAATTATCAAAAATATGTTTTGATGATATTAATATACCATATGATATGGAAATAATTGAAAATGATAATGATGAAACATCATATGAATTATGTACAAAATTAGCATTAAATTTTTTATTAAATACACATTTACGTACACATCGTCGTTTACGTAAAGATAATTCACAACAATGGATACAATTATTAGGACGTTTATTTACAAAAAATTCAACATCATGTATTATTTTTTATGATTTATTATTTGAAAAAAATGATTATGGATTAAAATTATATTTACTTGATTGTCCTATTGATGATATACGTTATATATTTGAACAAATATGTGAAAATATTTTACAAGCAACATATTCTCATGTATTAGAAAAACATCAACAAATACAAGAAACAAATATTAATGATAATCATGAAACATTAATTATTAATATTGATAATAAATTATTATTATTAATGAAAAAATTTATTGAACAATTAATTAATTTATTAGATAAATATGTTGTTGAACAAGTTAAACATTCACAAGGATATTTTCAATTAATTTATTATTATATAAAAATAAATAAAAATTCTATTGATTATTTATTACAATTAAATACATTTACACGTTTAATAAATTTTTTATTAGGTGAAAATATTGATACAAGACGATGGAATTCTGGACAAGCAAAAGAATTTGGTATTATACATGAAATAATTTCAACATTAGCATTAGCATGTAATTTAAATAAAAATATATTTAATGAACAAGATATACAATTAAAAAATCAAATGGAAATGTATTTTTATGGTAAATGGTCAAATAGATATTTAAAAGAAATATGTTATGCTTTTCAAGAAATTTCACCATCACAATTAACATGTACGGTACAATTAATGGAAATATTAGCACTTAATAATCAAACATTTTCTGAACAACTTATTAGAATTATATTACATTCAATTACACAAGCACATACTAATGATTTGAAATCATTATTTAAATTTCTTAGTTATATTTTAGTAAGTTTATATAAAAAAAAATTTCTAATTGTTTGTTTTTTAAAAAAATCGCTCAGGTGATATGAACTTTTGATATTCTGGTATGATCACCTGAAATCTATATGGTCTAGAGATGTATGCAGTGAGAGAGTCGGAAAGTTGCGCACGAGATAAAAAAAAAAGGCTATGAGTGTGAGGATTAGGGCCCAGAAATTTTTGGATCCGATGGGCTCTCTTCCTATAAAAGATTAATCAATCAGATTCGAATCCAATATTTTGATTGATCGGGTCCAAAAAAATTTCGTTCGAGTCCAAAAATTCTTAGAACCGATGGGCTTTAGTGGGGGTGGGTGTAGGTTTAGGTGTGGGTATTGTGTTCATTCACACCGACATCCACACCCTCAAGTGGCCGATTGTTGGAGCCTATTGCCCAATGGCCGTACCTCCTGGCTATGCTACCGGAAATGTGGAACCCATGTTTTTTTTGCTTTTTGTCCCGATAAACCTAGTCTAGTTCCAGTCCCGGTAACATCTTTTTTAGTAGTCTTGGCTATGGCCTCGGTAAATCTAATCTGGTCTCGATCCTGAGGCGCTTAGTTTTTTCGGGTTCTGGTCTGGAGAAAACTATTTCAGAATTTATTCGTATTACATCTAAAAAAAATTATTCAATACTTGTTTTTTTTTTATTTATTTCGCCGACGATTAGTTCTTTCTTTGGATCGTGTCTCTAGGATTCTGTTCTGATTGATATGATTTATAAGATAATTTGCTTAAAATCTTAGAATATTGAATTATAATCTTAAGTTTCGGTTGAAGCAGCGTTTTTCTCGTAGTCTCAATTTCAGTCTCAGCAACTTCGTTTTTCTATAATTCTAATCCCAACAAACTTCTAAATTTTGGTTTCACACATCTATAATATGATTCCTAGTTTGAAACGAGGACAGCAGCTAATCTGAATGGTATTTGTACCGTCGTTTTTAATTCTCTTCTCGTCTCCCTCGATACATTGAAATTTCTTTTCTATCAAATCATATTATTTTAAATGTTAATTAATTGATTATTTTAGTTAGTCGAAGATTCATTACAAACAAAACGACTTCAATTAGCATTTGAAGGTACGAATGAATCTGGTAGTGGTGATAATTATCAACATATTACTGGACTTTATTCACTTATTCGAACAAGTATTGAAAGTGAACAACGACGAGCATATCAAACAGTTAAATTTCTTATTAATCTATCAAATAGGTAAAATTTTTCAAATAAAAAAAAAAAAGAAATCAATATATTATTATTATTTATTTTACAAAATAGAAATAGTGCATGTAAAGATTATTTTTCTTCAACTGCTTTTCAATGGGAATTTGCTATAAATTGGCTTAAACAACAAATGCAAACATCATGGCAATGGTCACCAGCACAAAATGTATCAAATGAAGATACTGATACACGTTCATTTCAACGTACACGTAGTGCACAATTTACATTAGAACAAGCTCAATCACTTTTACAACAAACAACAATATCAAATAATGATACATCAACAAACGAATTAATGGAATTAAATGATACTCAAAGTCAATCTTCATCACAATCAACACTTGCTGGTATTGATTAATCCATCCATATACTTTTATAAAAACTCCGGTGTGTGCATGAGATGTATTTTTAAAGTGTATGATTGTTGATAAAAAAAAAAATTTCGTTTTTTTTTTTTTTCATTTTTTTTTCAGCGATCAGGAACTGCCGTTACTTTTGATCCGCCGTGTTTTCTCTCTCTTTCTCTCTCTCTCTGATTTTTTTTTCTTTTCTTTATATTACTTTGACCTGAACGAGAAATAATACAAACAAAAACTAAGGATCGCGCATTTTTATACTTTGCGTAGTTTCTTAGAAGATGTGTGCGTATGCGTGCTTTTTTTGTCAAAAAAAAAAAAAGAAGAAATAAACAGAAAAAGATCAGTTTGTATAAAAAGTTTCGTATTTAGATTAATTTTCTCTGAAAAAAGAAAATGGGTCGAAAACAAAGAGTAAGTTTATTTGAGTGAAAGATCTTTCGATTAGAATAATATTAATTTATTCTAAACAAAGGGTCGTGCTGCTCGAAATGCTCGTCGAAAATTACCACCAAATTTTGAAAGTGAAGAAGTTAAACGAGCACCTCATGTACTTGTTTTTAAACGAGGTGTAACTGGTAAGTAAATATAATAATTAGATATTTAATTCAAATTCAAAATTGTTTGTATTTATTATAAATAGTTGGAAATAATGTTAAAGAACTTATCAAAGATATGCGTCGAGTAATGGAACCATTTACTGCACCAAATCTTAAAGTAAGTTTTATAATATTTTATTTATTTTATAATGAAAAACTGAAAATTGTTCTCCGATTGAAACACATTATACTGAATAGAAATTAATGTGTATTCGGATGGATGAATTTTCGAAGATAGATTTAAGAATATTTGTTCACTGTGTAATAACAGATATATAAGATGGATTAAATCTCCGTTCACACTTCTATTATGAGGAAACTACTCATACGAATTGCATGTGGTTGTTACCGAAGAGAAGACTCACATACTTCAACATCTTTATATATAAAATTAAAACTTTTCTATTGTATTGGTAATCACAGCCTTGTTCGGAATTCGACATTTAAAATTAAGAATTCATTATCAAAATATGTCGTATTAATGATGTTCTTGAAGAATTGCTATTCATCTATTACTCGATCGAAATTTCAGTCTATTATTCTCATATATTTTAGGTTAGTCGTAAGAATGCATTAAAAGATTTTATTGCTATATCAGGTCATTTTCATGTAACACATTTAATGACATTTTCCAAGACGCAATTATCAACTTATATGCGTTTAATACGTGTTCCACGTGGTCCTACATTAAATTTTCGTATTCGTCGTTTTACACATAGTCGTGATATTGTTTCAGCATTAAAACATCCTCAAACATTTCCTAAACAATTTGAATATGCACCATTACTTGTTATGAATGGTTTTCAAGATGATTCAATACATATTAAACTTATAGCAACTATGTTTCAAAATATGTTTCCATCAATTAATGTTACAAATGTAAGTTATTTTTATAATTTTTCTTAAAATTAAAAACAAATGTTGAATGATTAGGTTGATTTAAGTACTATAAAACGATGTGTTTTACTTTCACTTGATCCTGTTAATGGATTTATCGAATTTCGACATTAGTAAGTGGTTAATGAATAAAATAACAAAAATAATGATTGTATTTTTTTTAATGTTTAGTAATATCAAAATTGTACCAAGTGGTATTAGTCGAGCAGCAAAGAAATTATTACAAGGCAAAGTACCTGATCTATCACGATTTAATGATATTAGTGATTTCATGTACAGGTAAAGTGAAGATAAAATATTTAGAAACGAAGTATTTTTGACTACGACTTGAATATATTCGAATGTTGTTTGTAGTACGAGGCGTATCTGATCTCGGTATATCATTTATCTTATGTCTCTTCAAAATTCTCCTGACTTTGAGCATCAAAGCATTTGTCGTTGTATAGAAAGGTGAAGTTTCGAATTGAAGAAAAAATTTTGTAATATCTTTCACTTTCCTTGATGGATATAATTCTTTTAATTGTAATACGAAACAACAGAATTTCTTTTTATCTATCGTACATGGTTCATGTGATATTTTTGATTGATTCAGTTAGAATGGATTAATGTTGAACTTTATATATCTGTTTGATCGATACATGCAGTAAGAAAAAGGTTGTTTAAAACAAAATTTTTCTGCTTAGACACAAGTCTTGAATCCACAACTTTTTTGTCTTCTTTATGTTAAATTTTAGCTATAGGAAATTTTCTGAAATAGTATACGACAGTGTTATTTCAGTTTCTCATCGATAGGAAAAGCTATAGAGCTCAAAGTTTGCAATTATTTAGCACTGACTATGTTTAAGAATCTATCAAAATTTCATAGAGTTTGCTTTTGTTGACTACGAGAACAATCAATGTTAAAATAGTTTCAAAACTTCTGAAACATCCTTTATGTTTTTTTTGTTTATTCTGGAACTTTTGCTATTCCAGCATGACTATTGTCTTAGTCTTTTAGTAACATTTCGATCAATTCAAAATGAACTGTCGACATTCAGTTAACATTTTCCGGCAAGATCCTTTACATATCCATTCTATGTGGTACATTTTCGTTTTTCATATTTCGCTTTCATCCTCACACTGTGCTATGTACGATGAAATCACATGTATAGAAATTGAGATTTGTGGGACATGAAAAAGAATCACCTTTTATCGAATATACGATCAACTCTCGCTTTTCTACAATGATTGTCGTTCGTTAAAGATAGGTCGTGAAAATCTCGGCGATATTTTATTTTGTTCAGAAATATTTTCTCTATTACATGAGCTTGTTTGCAAAAGTTTTCAACGGAATCCGGAAGACTGGTTTTCTGGGTTTGGGGGTTTTCCAGAATCCTTTCACCTAAATCTGTTAATTAATATTTGACAAGTACCTCTTTTGAGAGGAAATTTTCTCAGGTAATCGAATCTGTTCTAACTGCTACTGTTAAGGGAAAAAGTCAACAATACTTAGTTTAGCAAAAATTTGAAATGATAAACTTAATACTTTATTCTTAATTTTTTCTTTTTTTTGAAGAGAAGGAAATGCATCAGAAAGTGAAGATGAAAGTACTGGTAATAATGATGAAAATGAAGTTATTCTTTCACAACAATTACGTAGTCGTGGTAATTTAAAAGCTAATCAAAGTGCTATACGTTTAACTGAAATTGGACCACGAATGACACTTGAATTAGTTAAAATTGAAGAAGGTTTATGTGATGGTGAAGTTCTTTATCATACACATATTTCTAAAACACCTGAAGAAATAACTGAATTACGTAAACGTAATACAGAAAAAAAACGATTAAAAGAACAACGAAAACGTGAACAAGAAGAAAATGTTAAACGAAAACAAGACAAGAAAAAAACAACACAAAAATCTTCGTCGAAACAAAATGATGAAAATATGATTGAATCATCATCGGATAATAATGATAACGATAGTGATGAATAAATTATAGTTGTTTGCATTTTTTTTTTGTTATTCTTGTTATTTGTATGAATGAATCTAATAAACTATGATTCAGTCGCAGAGATGTTCATCGATATCTCTATTTAACTGTTAAGATAATCAATATTGATTTTCATTAAAAATTCAATAAATTTATATTGTTATATAATCAGTGGACAAAAACAAAGAAGAAAAAAAAATAATAATAATAAACGGTGACTCTATTGATTTTTATTAAGATAAATATTTGCTTGTAATCAAACGAAATATTTATTCAGATAATAATTTTAGCGATGATATACTTTACATG